ATAATTCTATCAATATAAAACTATAATTCTAGCATGCTAAAAATATATATATAGATTTATAACATGACAATAATCGCATTCATTTCGCAAAAAGGAGGAGTAGGAAAATCTACTCTTGCCCGTGCCGTAGCCGTAGAAGCCAGCAAACAAAAATTAAACGTTCTATTAGCTGATTGCGACCCGCAACAGGCTACAAGTTATAACTGATTACAAGTGCGGAAAAAAAAGTAAGTTTAAAGTAGAAGTATTTCCCACAGTTCAACAGGGATTAAGGGAAACCAATAAGTATGATTTAACGATTATTGACGGACCAGCAAGAACTAGCCATGCGACATTAGAAATAGCCCAAAAAGCCGATTTAGTTATTCAGCCGACAGGTGCTAGTCGAGACGATTTAATTCCCGCCGTAAAAGAATTTAATGCGTTAGTAAAAGCCGGAGTTAACAAAAAAAAGTTGATATTTGCTTTAACTCGCTTGTCTACTCCCAAGGAAGCCGAGGCCATAAAAGATTACTTAAAAGATACTGGTTATAAATATTCTGAAACTTACCTTTATGAAAAAACTTCCTACAAACAAACCCAAAATGAGGGAAGGAGCATTACAGAAACTAAATATAAAAAGTTAGCCAAGCAGGCCAAAGACTTAGTAAATGAATTATTAAATAATCTATAAAACTATATATATAATTCTAGATATAGAAAAATAGACATATGCCAAAGGAAATATTAAGATGCCGTTGTAGGCCTGGCTATAAATGTTCCGCTCCTTTACATGGTGAGATTACTATTATCACTTGTGAAAAAAATTGCGGACTAGGTTGTGATAAGCCAATTAAAAGAAAAAAAATAACATGCCAAATATCGATAATAATTGAAAAACAAAAAGAATGCTTTCACAAAATAGCAATTGAAAAAACAAAATAAAACGCAAGGGACTAGGTAAAGTGCCGCAAGAAGTCAGTGAGAATATTCAAAAGCCTGAATTTGCCTCCCGTGATAATCGTTTTACTGGTCGCACTAAACAATTAGGGTTAAGAGTGAAACCAGAGTTTACCAAGAAGTTAAAAACTATTGCGGTTGAGGAAGATTGCTTATTAATTGAAGTCCTGGAAAAAGCCTTGGACTGTTATGAAAAGGAGAGAAAAAATAAGTAAAAATTTTATATGCTAGAACCCACTGAGAAAATTAGACTAGGTTGTTTTTACACCACCCAAAAACATATTCAGTTATCCCCATTTCCAAGAATGATTTAACCAAGCCTTAAAAGAAAGCAACAACACTGTTTTAGAACCTTTTGCTGGTGCTAATAATTTAATTAAAATGCTCCAAGACGAGGGTTATAATTTCGACTTTGCGGCTTATGATATAAATCCTGGCTCTTCCGAAGTAAAAAAAAAGAGACACCATTAAAGATTTTCCCCAAGACTACAAATTAATCATTACTAATCCTCCTTATCTAGCCAAAAACTCGGCTTGTCGCAAAAAAATTGACTTCTTAACAACTAAATATGATGATTTATATAAATTATGCCTAGAAATAATGCTAAAAAACTGTGCTTATGTAGGAGCCATTATCCCCGCTTCTTTTATTAATGCTGATTTATTTTTAGATAGATTACACTCTTACACTTTATT